CACGATGACACGACGCCACACAACGCCACCGGACACGTTCAGGAGGCCGTTTGTTGTTCTTCCTGACTTCAATGTCCAGGGGGAGACAAAAACTCAGAAGACACGGTGAGTTATATGCACAAATAATGTTCAATCATGTCGTCGTCAGCAGTTTGGAAAGATTTTAGTATCAGTGAGGACGACAGGAGTAAGGGGAGATTGTAAATGATGAAGTACGAAGGTGTCGATAGTCAGGCTGGTGTCACCTAGTGCCTCCGCTAGGGATGGGCATGATTAATCGAGTAATCGATAATTGATCATTAAGAATTTCATCGATTACGTTAATTTTAATCGACAAAACGAATGTAGGTTGGTGTGTGTATCGTGACCAAACAGGTGTGTACATGTGTCTCTGCATCAGAAGGAGCGAGACACAAACAGTGGGTCAGTCTGCAACGAACCGAAGCACAAATGTGGATTTAACGATGATTTGTACAAGAAATTCCACACTTTCCGTTGCGTTGGGACAAGTGTGAGTCCATGTGCACAGTGTATAAAGCAGCACATATGTTTCTGTGTCCAGTGGGAAAAAGTTTTACCAGGTGAGAGTCGCTCAATGTGGATGACGAGGCCCCACCCCCTCCCCCCCGTACGCTGTCCTGGTTTTGACAAACGCAAATCTGGTCACACTAACCTGTATTCACCTGAGTCATGTCTTTTAATCCAACAGAAATTGACCACTTCAGCGACACAAGAGCTGGAGTTTTATCTTCGCTTAGTTTATGTAAATTAGTGATGTGGTTTTAAGTTTTGTTTCTGTGAGATTTGAACAAAATTGAATTAAACACATTATAATGTCAAACGGGCTGATGTGGCTCTAGAGTCGTTACGGTTTATATGTCGTAAAGTTGAATTTATTTATGCAGGATTAGTAGTGCAGATAGTAATAATAATGATGATCATTTTAATATAAAAACGTTGATGATTAATCGATAATCGATCGTTAATTCTTCCGACGATCGATTAAGAAAATTTCATCGAATGCCCGTCCCTAGCCTCCGCTCAGTCTCATTTCTCTCCAGTGAGTAATCAGAATCGAACACATTAGACCAGAAGTCTCCAACCTGTAGCCCGGGAGCTACCAGTTGCTCGCCACCTCTTTCCAAATAGCTCACCAAAAGATTTCAAAATGATACCATTGTGCTGATAAATAACTTTTCTTTTTTTTTTTTTGTGCACTTAAAGCAGATGTCTCAGAGAAAAACAATTAGTAGTAATATATTGTGACAATTTTTTTATTCCCCAAACCCCCTTCCCATTACCCTCCTCCACTGTAATATCCAATCTCATAGTAAAAAAAATTATAATATTAATAACATTAATAAAAATAAAATAATGAAAAAATAATACAAATAAGAATAAATAAAGTAATAAGTAAATGTAATAAATAAATAAATAAATAAATAAAGGGAAAAGCGAGAAATACTTTTTTTTTTCTTTAATAACAAAAGTTTACTTAATATAGGCATGTAGCCTATTACTATTGCAAATGTATAATTATGAATTCCATCTTTTTGCACTAATAAATGGACAGTGGTTTATGTTTTATAGGCATCTAACTGTACCCAAAAGCTCGACCTCTTTCTTATAATCATCTCAATTTTTTTGCGGCCGCTAAAATGAGTAGCTCTCTGGCATTTTTGTTTAGTAAAGGAGCTCACCAAAGAAAAAAGGTTGGAGACCCCTGCACTAGACGATTCGCAAAAACCCCAGAAGTGCGAGTTCAGGCACCAGCCAATCAGCGAAGATCCATTTATTCTGTGTTGGCAACAATTCCCGAGATCAAGAATTTAAAGCCAGAACAAAGAGAATGTTTGGTGAATTTTATCAAGGGGAAAGACGTTATTGTCCTTCTTCCTACGGGATTTGGGAAAAGCTTACTTTACCAGTTAGCCCCGTTAGTGGCGCATTACACACGTGACGACCAAATAGCAGCGATTGGTTAAATGAAAAAAGTACCTGTCTACTGTCGAGCGAAAGAATCTGAACGCTGCGAGGTCAGACGGTTTCTACGAAGGTGTCGAGAGGTGGAAGGGAAAACACCTCATTTAATACGAGCAGTTTAATGAAACATTTGAAGACACGCCACAGTGCGTCGAGTTCACCAAAGCAGCACTAGGCGTCAACAGCAAACTTTAACCGAAGTTTTCAAGAAGCGAGACAAAATATCCAAAGATAGAACTCGGGCAACAAAAATAACCAAGGCACTGACCCACTACATTGTGCTAGACGACCAGGCCACTTTCAGTTGTGGATGATATTGGGTTTCAGCTAGAGCCGTGCACTAGGACCCGTGGGACCCAACGCCAAACAGTGCGGCGCGGGACACATTTTGAAAGCTCACTGCGGGCACAGGCAGGAGCAGGACTGCACAATGCGGGCGGAGCGGGATGATAACCTGCATTTTCACAAGACTAAATGAGTGTAAAGTAAAATATACAAATGATGAATTTATGCCTATCATACAACATATGTGTTGAATATGTTATTTGGCATTAATAAAAACATTTTAAGCAATCAAATCTCACGCACATTTTAGATAATTCCTTTCCACTTCTCTGTGTTTGATAGAGCTTAAGATGGCGAACGTCCTCATCTTGGGGGATTTGCAGGTGGGAGCAGGACAAAATATCACAGATGCTGACGGAAGCGGGAATGAAAATTACAATTCTTTGTGGGAGCGGGCGGAAGCGGGACTTCACAGCGCGAGTGAGAGTGCTGAAAATTCAGTCCCGTGCTTTCCTCTAGTTTCAGTATCTTATTGATGTTCTAAAGCCCAGATACGAGCTGCTCCGTCGTTGCTACGTCACAGATGTGATGTTGCCGAAAGTGTTCGATGCTGTAAACCAGCATCTTTGTAACTTTTTGGTGGAAGCTCCTTCATCTGCTTGTTTCTATGGATTTGTCATTTCTCTGCCTGAAATGTTCCACAGTGTGACGTTAAACAGCTCTACTTTACCTTTATTCAATTACAGGTGGTTTTATAGCTCAAAAATACCAAGAAAAACAGACATTCTGATGGTGAGCGGGGTCGCCTCTCCACAGATCTGACCAGTAACTTTTTCTGGTTTGGTGTCCATGAAGGTAGAAAGAAGAAAGGTTTAATGCCATACTGTGAAACATTCCAGACAAAGCAATAACTACTTTAAAAACACAGAGGAGCATTTTGGAGGTGAAACTGATCCAAACCAAGTCTAAAACTGGACAAAAAGAAAAGCAGGCTCAAATCTTATACTCATACATAATCTGGTCTTCATTATTTCGGTTTCGCTCCGTGCTGCGTTCAGGAAATATCGTTTGGCGGCGTTGGCGTTGGCGTTGGCGTGTTTGTGCGTCCGTGCTCGGGCGGCTCCTCTGTGGGGCGTGTCGCGGCTCCTCTGGACGGATGATTTTTGCTGTCACTCAAACTCAGCCTCCATCAGCTCCATCACATTTGGAGTCTCATCAAAATGTGACGGAGCGTTCACTCATGTCCGTGAAGTGTCATCTGAACGTGAGATCTGCCGTCACAGCGTCTCCAAGTGTGAGGGTCCCTGGAGGCTCATCGCAGTGTGTGTGTGTTTTTGTGTGTGTTTGTGTGTGTGTGCGCGTGTGTGTGTTTCTACTGTACTGAGTTTTTGGTAACATTTGTGTTCTTTTCAGTTTCATACACCATTGTTTTTCCAAAGACTGGGTCGCGACTCTCAGGTGAGTCACAAGCAGCGTTGGGAGTAACGCGTTATAAAAGTAACGAATTACTGTAATGCATTGCTTTTTGCTGTAACGCAGTAATGTGGCATTACAGGAAAAAAATTATATTTTACTCGGTACAAATGTCAGTAACGCACATTACAATGCTTTTTTAACCTGGGTTGAAGTGGTGGGATTTTCTTCATACAAATTCACTAAAATCACTGCGATATCAGCAGCAGTGAAACGCCGGAGACGCGCCCTCGTAGACCGTCAGGTGACCAAGGGCGAAAGGGCCGACGCAGAACTCCACACTCCACTGGGGGGGGGGGTCCTAGATTCCAAGTTCTAGTTCAAGATTAGTCCTTATCAGACCAGAAGTACAAGCACATGCGTCCTGTGGCTCAGGTCTCTCCAGGGCTCTTGTGGCTCAGAGACTTTAAAGTCTCTCCACGGCCGACCACGAGAGTCCATCTGTGACATGTTAGTGTCATATGAACCATCTGCAGTCTGAGGAGCTCAGGGACCGGCCTCCTGCTGTAGTCCTGGTTTAGTTCTGGTTTAGTCCTGGCCTCCTGGTTTAGTCCTGGTTTAGTTCTGGTTTAGTCCTGGCCTCCTGGTTTAGTCCTGGTTTAGTTCTGGTTTAGTCCTGGCCTCCTGGTTTAGTCCTGGTTTAGTTCTGGTTTAGTCCTGGCCTCCTGGTTTAGTTCTGTTTAGTCCTGGTTTAGTTCTGGTTTAGTCCTGGCCTCCTGCTGTAGTCCTGGTTTAGTTCCGGTTTAGTCCCGGCCTCCTGCTGGTGCCCAGAGTCAGGACTAAACACGGGGAGTCAGATTTTCAGATTCACGCAGATAAAACCTGGAACAGTCTGAACATGTGAGACAGACTCTTCTCTCTCTTTTTAATTTTATGATAATTATTTATGTTTTGATTTGTTTGTATTGTAATTTTAATGTATTTCTTATTCTTTAAAGCACTTTGAATGACTTTGTGTACGAATTCCACCTTGTGATGTCATGAGGGAATCATTTTCAAATTAACATCTACATTTATCTTCATATTCAGTACAGATTGGTAATTCCAGGGCTGAAATCCTCCAAATGATTCTAGTGAAGGTGTGTGGAGTTTGAAAACACAGTGAAACGCAGTGTTTGTGTGTTGAACGTGCGTGAATGAAACAAAACACAACTCCAGGTCTGTTTGTGAAGAGGAAACTACATTATAACACAGAAAATAGTGTAATATGGGTCCTTAAAATACACACATTTATCAAACCCACATGTTTGTGATCGTACCTGAGCTCTGTCCCATGATCGTGACTTGAGACGCGTCTCCTCCAAACAGGTGGATGTTCTTCTGGACCCACTGCAGAGCCAAGATCTGGTCCATGAAGCCGTAGTTCCCTGAAAACACAACGGTAAATGTTCAATGGTCAGATTTTTATAAAGTTTTCTAGTTCAGTTCAATTTATTTGCCTTGCGGTCTATTCACGTTACGTCACAAACCAGAAAAACGTTTGGAGACATGCAATGGCAACTTCCGATGGGCTCTGTTTGAGGTAGTAAGTCTGAAAAAGTCTAGGAAAAATGAGAAAATGTCCCAGTTGTGTTCTTCATCTCCATGTCATTGTAGCGTTCCGTTATATTTGCCTCATCAACAATTAAAACCTTCAAAATCGCACACAAAGACACAAAGTCGGGTCACGTCTTTGTGTCTCCCCGAATGAGAAGAGAAGCAAATCGCAGCCAAAATCGGGCAAATTCTCCTGTAGCGTGTGGCGGTATTCATGATGTTTACGTCGAGAGCGGGATTCGAACCACCAACCTCCCGATCAGTGGACAAACGCTCCACAAACTGAACTACTGCTGACCAGAAAAGTAAAATGAGAGTGGTACTGACAAAAATCGTAACAAAAGTGCAGAAATCACCTTATATAAGCGTGTTCATTTTATAGAAAAATAAAAATGTGACTGTTTGCTGCTCTTTGCATCAGTGAGAACAGGTAGAGGGCGCTCTTGGAAAACATTGTCAAAATGAATGACACTCCAGAAAAGTATGAGGAAAAGTATATTTAAAAGGCCTTTACTATATTTACTATATTTACACTAAGGCTGCGTTCAGACTGCAGCCTGAAGTGACCCAAATCAGATTTTTTGGCCTCTATGTTCCTGTATCTGATCTTTTAATGACAGTCTGAACCACACAGATCCGATTTTTTCAAATGTGACCCAGGACACTTGGATATGTGCTCCTGAAACTGATACATATCTGATCTTTTGACATGTGACTTCAGTCTGAACGACCAAAGCGCATTCATCCACCTACACGTTATCAACAAGACACAAACGTCACTATTCTGCGCTGAAGTAGGAGAAAATTGTTAATGAACTCAGTGTCACTGAAGTGAAGCACATCACCACTCACCACTCTTGGCTCCGTCTCCACATCCACATGTTCCTTTCAACGGACTGAACCACAAAACACCACGGCTAAAAACCTCGTCCTTCTCCTTCTCAATCTCCTCCTTAAAACAAGTAAGTTGTTCATGTTCTGGCTCCGGTACGAGAGGAACTTTAAAATCTCCAGGTGCTCGATGCTGCGTCCATGTTTGGACAACTTCAGTAAACACAGAGACGCTCGCTGCGGTTGACGTCGTCGTGTCTCCAGTGCACATGCGGGACACTTTTGGGCCATTTAATGTTCACACTGGAGTCACATACAAGTTGCATTTAATTGGAAATGTGAACGACCTCGAAAAAACATCAGATTTAAAAAAAAAATCTGAATTGAGCGTTAAGCCCTGCAGTCTGAACGTAGACTAAGTGGCACTTTTTTTCCATGGTTTGGGTGTTTCCTGCGACTTCTATATTAAAATGTTGAGAGTGAAGCAGTGAGAGGTTCTAGTCTTGTGTGTGAGTATCTGCTGCTCCTGTTCCTCCTGCACCACTGTCACTTCACTCTACTGCGCATGTCTCCTGCAGAAAGAGCCTCTGTTCTGTCTGTATCATGTCAGTCGATCGCACTGTTACTTCTGCACCACTGAACAATTTAACATTTAAACAAACTTATAAAGTCAACGACTGAGAAAACTGAACACAAATGCCCCCAAAAACTAAATCAGATTATGCAGATTACAAACTGCAAGTCGTGAAATCTGCAGCTGAAAATGAGAATCGAGCAGCAGAAAGAAAGTTTGGAGTGAGAGAGAAACTTGTGACACCGGGAGCAACTTTCCTGAAGTCACTGGATGGATGGACAAACCATCCTGTCGGGATTCAGAAAGACCGGACTCTCAGGTCTGCAGACCAACTCCAGTTCGCCGTCCCAAAAACAAAACGTGAGCTTCGTGGGGACCGTGCGTTTTCTGTTTCTGCCCCTCGGCTCTGGAACCAGTCGCCATTAGAGTCTGTACCTGTTTTTAAATCAGTTCTAAAAATGCACCTTTTTCACTGGCGTTTAATAAGTGACATGTATATTTCTTGTTGAGTATTTGACAGTTTTCTATGTTTTTTAGAAGCTGTATTGTATGTGTACCATATATTTTCTTCTAATGCGATTGTCATTGTCTGTCCTGTGTTTGTGTGCAGCACTTTGGCCGACTGTAACATTTTTAAAGTGCTTTATAAATAAAGTTGGTCTGGAATAATTCTAACTGGAACTGATGCTGAGTCTGAAGCGTCGCTCTGTTTACCTCCGGAGGTCGAGGCCGAGTTGCTCAGAAGTGACACCGAGGATGAAGAATTGAATGGATTTAGTGATTTGGAGTGAGATGGAGAGTTTGTTAAACTTGTTATTTATGTTATAGTTTATCTGAAGAACTGTTCATATGTGACGTTAAAAGTCTGTTGTTCTCTCTTCTATTGTTTTTACTAGAACTTCACTTTCATGTACTCTGATTTTATCATATAAATTTCCCCCAAAATGCATGACTTGTATGTTTTTTTCTTCTTCATTATGTATTTTTTGACTGGAGCGATTTATAGTCCAGAAAATACGGTATTTAAATGTCCACAATCGACATGTTTCAGCCATGACCAGGGCTTAGTTAGAATCACGTTGCTGTCACTTTAGTAGTTTTATTTATAGATGATATACTAGTACTCAATATTCTAACTTTGCATTTCTTCAGAACAACAGTTGTGATTTTATTCTTTCTGTAATATATTCCCCATCTCTACACGAAATGGTGCGATAAAAATATACAAGGACAGAAACAGAGAAATAGAAATGCAACAGCGGACATATGGAGCACCAGAGCACCAGCTTACAATTAAAACATAATGTAAATATTTATTGTAGACGCCATATGTTTGTGTTTATTTTATATTGTGCCTGTAGGTGTGAGCTGTGCAGTGGTTTCAAAAGGATGTGGAACCGAAAATACAGGCAGTCGTCACTAAAATTGTAAAACCGAACCTAAAAATAACAACAACACCTGGCGTATAATTTGAAGCTGCACTGTGTAACTTTTCTGGCAGAGTTTCCATCACCTGCTTGTTTCTATGCAGATAAAGTGAGAGGTAGAGGGTTTTTACAATTGCCACGAGCTTTAATTCTGAATAAAAATGAATTCCGTGTAAACACTTAATTCCTGATGAAAATGATTATTCGGAATTAAACTTAATTTCGAAGTAAGTGGGTGGTTTATTCTGATTTTAAAGCCGAATTAATGTATTCCTCGATCATGTAAACGTTTATGCTTCTTAAAAATAATCCCGGTCGTTCAGCACATGCTCGCTGGGTCGTCCTTCTGACGCGATTCGAACGATCCGGATCGCGTCTCTTTGGATTTGTGAGTGGGATGCAGGAGTGGGCTGAGGTAGAGCAGCCGTTGACTCAGGGCCTGTTTACACGAGAACGCTTGCGGGTAAAAACGACAAAATATTTGATCAGAAGTGTCTTCCGTTTAGACGGTGACTGTGTTTTTGGGGCTTAAAAACGCAAAAATTTGGAGTTGAACACGCTCCGCCGTAGCGTTTCCGTCTACACTGCCCAAGACGCAAAACTCTGGTCAGTTCTGCTCAGGTCGTGTACATGTTTACGTCACATACATCGCCACCGAGAGTCACCACTAAGTCGCTTGGCATGCAAACACAATCGAATTCCACACACGTTTGCGTCACCGTATGCACACAGATTTATTCCCGAAAATGCTCATTTAAACGCGGAATAAAAAGTGAAGACGCGACGCCACTTTTGCGTCTTCTGTTCAGACCGTCATCATATAAACGTAGCCTGAGTTTGTCTTCTTCCTCTCTTCTTCGACACTCTTCCCTTCTCCTCCTCAGCTGACAGACTTAAAGTGCGATGAGAGAATTCTCCAGCTGCTGCTGCAGCCCCGCTCACAGTAAGAATGCTTCTCAAGATAATTTTAGTATTTAAAGAAGCGGTATGATTCATCAGTCTAACCTCACAGCATTAGGATTCTTTTGCTCGACAGGAAGCGAGGTTCCGTTTTTTTTTTCTTTAACCAATTGCTTCTGTTTGGTCGTGACATATGTAATGCGCCAAATCCCGTAGGAAGAAGGACAATAACATCTTTCCCCTTGATAAAATTCACCAAACATTCTCTTTGTTCCGGCTTTAAATCCTCGATCTCAGCAACACTGAATGTCTGGCTCTTCGCTGATTGGCTGGTGCCCAAACTCGCACTTCTGGGGTTCTTGCAAACTGTCTAGTGCAGGGGTGTCAAACATAAGGCCCGGGGGCCAGATCCGGCCCTCCAAGACCTTTAATGTGGCCCTCGGCTGATTTTCTACTAAAATATTTTAATTATTTTTTATTAAAAATCTTGTTAATTTTCTGTGGTGTTTATCACAGCAGCGTCTCCAGCGTCTCTGTACGTGGCCCCTCCCACCAGAGCAGCACAAATGAAGACTTGTCTCTTTCCAAACGCTCTTAAAGGACGATCGTTTTGACTGTTGACCGTGACACCCTCATCAGAAAAATGTCCAACATGAGAAAAGTGGAGCCGAGTGCAGGATTTTCCAAAAAATATGGACTTATTCCTATTTACATACAAGTTCATGTTAAAACATTGTACTGAAATTACATTTTTCTTAAAGTTTCAGGTTGTTGATAATATTATAATATTTTGTAAAAGAAAGAAGTTCATCAATTAAAAAAGATTTCTGTAATAGATTTGTGTTTCTCTGCACAAATATTTGAACTTATTGTTATTTTTGGGGTTTATATGACATGAGTTTCTGATCCGGCCCCTTTGGGATCAAAGTCGGTTGGATACGGCCCCCGGACCAAAATAAGTCTGACACTCCTGGTCTAGTGTATTCTGATTTATGACCTTGTCACTGAAGAGAAATGAAATTGAGCAGAGGCACTAGGTAGCGCCAGTCTGGCTTGCAATATTGCAAAATCGACTTTGCAAATCGATTATGCAAAATCA